TACTATGCGATTGCATTTGTCCCGAACCTTTGGGAACGCTCACGTTAACTTTTTTTGAGTGGGAAAAAGTTAGCATTCATCCTCCAGCTTCAATGTTTATATTATGCTAACACAGCTGTCGCTAGCGATCACATAACACAGCATTATATACCAACTAGTCCAACTTCAGTAACCCTACAAATTTCACTGCTTTTTACTTTCCTGTCTTCATTTATGTCGGAAATGATAGCAGAGCTGTACGTCTTAATTTGTTTCGGTAGGAACATGGCCACCACGTAGTACATCATTATATACCAGCTATCCCAACTTCAGTAGCCCTATAAACGTCACTACTTTTAAAGCTTCCCATCTTTATTTCTGTCGGAAGTGATAGCAGAGCTACACGTTTTAATTTTTTCAGAAATCTCTCACTCAGAACATGCTATATCATGTTTAGGTGGAAACTAGCGAGCTAACTCCAGGCTAACTTCTAACTGCGTTAAATTTCATAAATTCTGTTTTTCGTGGATGCCTAGATGTTAAACCTAATTTTTACACCTGGTAGAGCAACCACACTGATCATTTTATTAAAGATGAAAGAATTTAGACAGTTTTTAACTCTCAGTTATGCTGAAGTGTTGGTTTGACTTTGGGAACTGAAGCAGAGGTTGGACCCGAAAATGGCTAATGACGTCAGACTTAAAGACCAGGTAACTTGAGCCAGAGCGAGCAAAATGTGATTAATAATAAATATATGTATACTGTATTTAGATCAAAGGTGAGTAATTACTGCTGACGAGGAGATTCTGAGTCAGAGCAGAGCGTGATAAAGCAGGGAGTCTGTGACTGAACCAGGCAGCTTTCTGGCTGATCTAAGCACTAGTGATGTGCGGATCGATCCTGAAATATCGATTCCTCCGATACCAGTCATTTATGTTCTAGAATCGATTCTCACATTAAACTATCGATATTTTAGTAATTTAGAGTAAATTTGTAGTTTATCATTAACAGGAACATAGTAGAAAGAAACTATACCATTCAGATTGTCTAAATTCAAAGGAACTACTTCCTCTTCCACCTTTCATAGTCATGTGCAAAATACGGCTGTATAAATGT